TGCATGGATCACACGTGTGCATGGCCCAGAACGGTTGTGACAATGCAGAACAGTCCGGGTTCATCCCTCCCTGCCGTGTTTCTTTGCTGGTGCCTGCTGGCAAACAAGGAGGGGTTTGCCATGATGTCTGCAGCTCTGGGCTTTGTGTTGGGGAGAGGTAACAGCTCCTTGCCGCCAGGTGAGCAGGGTGTGCTCGTTACTGCAGACACAGAAGCAACAGGAGAGACGTGAAGATTCTCATGCGCGGCATTTTGTGCAGGGTATAATTTAGTCAGAAATGTGCTTCAGTACAATTACACTGTGCCTTTAAAACCTGGAGCACCGGAAATAAGGCTTTCAAAGTCAAATTTAGATAGACTTGGCTTGTAAGAGTCTTGTTTCTAAAGATGTTCCAACGTAAACAAATACGACTTATAAAAACTCTATCTTTGCATTATTCTAGAGCCAGTTATTGTTTAGAAATGGAACTGAGCCAGGAGAGCAAACGCCTTGCGTATGTTCGGCCCAGGGTTTGATCCTCACCTCCAAAAAACAAGTAAAAAAGTGGGAGCGGATAGAGACGGTGGAGACTGTGAAGCTCCATCGCCTCCCTGTGACTTGGAAACATTTTAATGTGTCCTTGTAAATGCATATGACTTCACAGAAGAGCTTGGGTGGGGGTGGCGGGGCTCCCCTGGGCTGCTCAGGGACCCTCCAGGCTCTGTGCTTGGGTCGCCCCCGGAGGTGCTCTGGAGTCAGACCCAGGCCCCGTCAGAGCCTGCACCTGCACAGTGTGGGGACGTGCCATGCGTGTGAAGCTGCGTCCCTGGCATGGCACGTCACTGCTGGCACCCCTGCGTGGAGCGTCCCGCCGTGACTCAGCCAGGTTGGCGTGAGCGCCGTGGCCAGCCGTGGCCTTGGGGGCAGCGTTCTAAGGAGTTGGAACAATTTCACTCCCCAGTCTTTCTGTGGGCACTGCCCGTGATTTACGCTTTTGTTGGTAATAGAGCTTGGCTTCACGCCCGGTTGCACCGTGACCCCCCCAACACCGGTCTCCGGGTACCCCACCTGTCCTGTAGTCCAGGGCTCGGGCCATTACCACTGTTCAGTTGTGACTCGACACGGTGTTTCTCTCCAGTCCACACGTGGGGGGAGAGAGCGTGGCCCCCTCCCCCTCCAGACTTCCCGCCAGCCCCACCCCCGCCTCTCCCTTTCCTGCAGCTGAGTGTCATTGTGTGTAAGTGCCAGTTTTGTGCTTGGGCCCTGGGTTCTGTCCAGACCTTGGCTGGTGTGAATACTGCTGCAGTGAACCCAGGAGGGCAAATGTCGTTTCGAAATAGTGGTTGGAGGCCCTTGGGGTAGAAGCCAGGCCGTGGACCTGCAGGGTGATCCTTGGTTCGTGCCTTGGTTTTGAGAAGTGACCCGCTGTGTTCCACGAGGCTGACCAGTGTGAGTTTCAGAGTTACGAAGTTTCTCATGATTGTCCCTGGTGTGCAGTGTTCCTGTATCAGCCCGGCCGCCAGCCAAAGCGCCCAGTGTCCCTCCACCCACGCCTGCCTCTGGCGGCCTCTTTCTTCCTCCCCCCCTGCTGTCACTAGGCTTTCCAGTACTGTTACTGTCGTGTGTCGTGTGTGTGACCACCATCCTTCCGGCAGCAGGCCTGGCTGTAGTGACCACTTCCCTCTGTCACTGTAGTGGCCCCTTCCCCAGTGCTAGTCCCTGCGGCGGCCAGTTCTCTTCTCATTTCTACTGCCTCCAGGCTCTTGTTATCCCCCACTGTCTTTTTTGTATCCTGCACAAGTGAGGTTTTGGCGTTCTTAGGTTAACAAGTGTACTTTCTTGTGATTTCAGAAGACAGGCGCCTTATGGAATTTGAATGTTTAATAGAAAATATAAAGTATGAACTTAATGCTTGGTGCTGACTGGAAAACATAAGAACCCATACTTGGGACCCAGTAAGTGAATTAAACCCTGTGTTCTGCCTCAGGGGGTCCCCACTGCTGGAAGGAGCCAGGCTGGGTGTCCGCGGGGCTATTGGGCTGGGCGGGGCAGCGGGGGTCCTGCCCTCAGGTGGGGGCCCCTGACCTCAGTGACTCATGCTGCAGGGGACAGTGCTGTGGCCCGCGGCTCCACAGGGGTTGGGGGCTGCCACCCGCAGCCATCCCGCGCCCTGGCTTGCTTTATTCCGTCCTCCGCCTTACTGAAACTCAGTGGTCTAAGCAGTCGTTCAGGCATTCGGCGTTCCAGCTCTGCCCACCAGGCTGACCTTCCCCCACCACTGTCCCCAGAGCCACTCCCCTGGTCCACCCCCTTAGCAGGTACAAAATAACTTATTTTATATTGGTTGTTACAACTGAACGGTTAGTATCATTATCAAAAGATATTTCAGTAAAAGAAAATTTGTGAAAATTGTGTCCCGTGGGGACAGCCAGCACGGAGTCCTTGTCTGAGGGTTCCTGAGCTGCTGCCTGCAGGGCGTCTGGGCCACTGTTTTGTTGACGGAGCAGAGTTGCTTCTGGGTTTCTCTCCCGTCTGATCCGGAGTGCTCGGCCTGGGGTGTTCGTGTTGGAGAATTTGAGGTGCTGTGTGGCCGTGAATGAAGCTGAGTGTTCCGGAACTCCAGAAGCTCTGACTGGGCAGTCAGTGTGCATGGCAGAGGTGTGGATGTAGGTGTGGATGCCAGGGCCATACGGGCAAGGAGGGCTGCCCACCCACCCAGAGGAGACCCCAGGGGCGCAGCCTGCAGGCTGGTGTACCTAAAATGCCTTCCAGCATTTTGGCATCTCTGCAGGACTCAGTCTTGAGGCGGTAGAGGGTGCTGACTTGTTTGGTGTGTGTGTGTGTGTGTGTGTGTGTGTGTGTGTGTGTGTGTGTGCGAGAGAGAGAGAGAGAGAGAGAGAGAGAGAGAGAGAGAGAGAGAGATTTTGAGAGCGCAGTGGAAGCCAGTTAGTTGCCTGTGCTTGTCTGCATCTTGTACTTTCAGTTAAAAGTGGGTTCTGGAGTGATCGCTCGGTCCTTTTTCTCCGCCTTCTTGCACAGTCCCACCGTGTGCGCCCGGCCTGGTGGCTGTGCCGTCGGTGGCTCTCCTGGTCTTCGCTGGGAGGGAGCGGAGCTGTGCGGATGGATGCACACATTGTCCGCCTGTCTTGACCCCTGGGATGGAATTGCTGGGTGCCGTGGGGAATGCCGAGTGGGCCAGGCACTGTCGGCCTGGTCACACCATCGTTGTTTGTAATGGCCCATAGACTTAGAGGACACAGTACTGGGGACAGTCTTCACATCTTTTTTGGTGGGGGCCACGCCCAGCGGTGCTCAGGAATCACTCCTGGCAGGCCCAGGGGGTCCTATGGAATGGCGGAGATTGAACCCGGACCGGCTGCGTGCAGGGCGAGTAGGTGCCTTTGACCGCTGTGCCGGCTGGGCACTTTGCCTGTCATGCACTCCTGGGCTTGCACACCGGAGCTCTGGCTGTTCCAGAACTGTGCCTTTAACCGTAGCCTTTCACCCGGGAAGATCGCCTTTCAGCACGGCTTCTCCTCTGGCTGTTTACTGGGCGCCTTGGTCAGCTGAAGGTATGGTTCCTTCTCCTCTGCCCAGCCTGTGTGCATGGGCTCACTCCCCACAGCACTGTTGGCGCCCTGGCGGTCAGGGGCAGGGCAGCTGCTCTGGCTCTTGTTGCCGCTGCACCCCTGTGTGTTTGTAGGAAGCCCCGCCCCGCCCCCAGCAGGCACACTCGTGGCAGTCCCCACCCTGCAGCCACAGGGGCCAAGGGCTCAGCCACTCTCTTCCCGGCTCCCCGGGGCAGCCATGGTGCCTCCAGAATGTCTGTTTAGTCTGTGCCGCTGACCTGACCTTTCTGCTTCCGTGGACCGGTGGCCTGGTGGATGCCCACGTTCCTTTGCAGATCCGCGGTGTTGAGCCAGTGGGTTCCCACACATACCTGGGCCCTGGGTCCGGGATCCGCATAGCTCCCCTGAGTGAGGCGAGCGCCAGGTGCCTGCAGGTGGGTTTTCAGAGTTTAAACAGCAAAGGACCTGGGAGGTGGGAGAGGCAGCAGAGCACTGGGCCCTTCCTGTGGTCAGGCGGGCTCTGCACAGGTGCAGTGACTGGGCCTCTCTCAGGCCGTGACCCTGCCACACAGCCGCAGAGGAGGGGAGGGACAGCTTATCGCCCCCATGCCCCCACCTCATGGCTTCAGAACTGTGGCCGAGGCCCCTGGAGTGCTGCCTGATGGGCGCCTGCCCCACCGTGGGCCCCGGGGACACACTCTGTGCCCTGCAGGGTCCAGTGCAGGCACGGCAGCTTCCAAGTGGCACCTCGGCCACTCAGCGGTCAGGGTAGAAGGGCCACGGCCGTCATTCGGGCATCTGGGAGATGAAGGGATGAGAAGGCGGCTGTCGCCTGTGGAAGGCTGGCAGGCGCTCGGGCCTGTCTCTCCTTGGCTGCAGAGTGCGGCCGCCGCGGACCAAGCCTGCCTGTGTGGCGCCAGCGCAACTCCCGGGCTGCAGAGCGACGGACTGTGTGAGGAGCCCGCAGCCTGGGTCACGTCCCTCTGGGGAGGGGGCGCTGGAACTAGGGCAGGGGCCTCCCAGACCAGCACCAGCCCTGCCCTGCAGGGGTGCTGGAAACCTTTTCCCAGCAGGCGTCTTCGAACCTGTTCATCGCTGGCTTGTTCCTTGGCTGGCGTTACTTCGAGCGCTGTGAATGAGTGGGCGATGGGCCGGGCCGGCAGGGAGGAACGGTGTGCGTTTGGGGGCGTGGGCTGTTTGTGGCGTGTGCGGTGCCAGTTCTGACTTGGAGGAGAGAAATTGTTCCCAGGGCAGAGCCTGGGGGGCAGCCCTGAGTGTCTCAGGCGGCGAGGTGGCCGTGGGGCGCAGAGCACTTTCCCCGAGCTCCAGCTTGGGTGGGAGAGACGCCCGTGTGCACACGGACATGGCACGGGGAGAGGAGACGCAGGGCTGAGGCGTCTTGCTTGCGACTGCCGGGCATGACTAAGGCCTGTGCTTGTGTTTTCCTTCCAGGTTCATTTTCCAGACACCGAGAGAGCAGAATGGCTAAATAAGGTAAGAATAGAAATTCCGCATTCCAGAGATTCTCGGGATTGGAAGATGAGATACCAGCTTTCCATGTTTGGGAATTTGAGCGTGGAGAGGATTCAGAACCTCCTCGGACTTGAGTGGGCCGACTGCTGTTCTGAAGCAGGACTTCCTGACCAACACACACTCTCCTCCAGCGCAGAGACTGTGTCCCGCCTGCGAGGTGCCCGCGGCTTCGGCCTTGAGCCTTCCCAGTTGGCTTGTGTTTACATCAACATTGTGATAATCATAAACAAAATCTTGGAAACATTATTATTAACAGGGAAATAGATGTCACGAAACCCAGTAACCACTCATGATGATATTTTGAAGGAGGTTTTCTTTTCTTTCTTCCTTTTTTTTTTGTCAGTAGATCTTGAAGCAGGTCTCTCTCATCTTTATATTCATCTTTCATGAGAGCTGTGTAGTAAAACTCGCAGATAGTGGTTGTCTTGCTGCTCTGAAAGTCAGCCCTTCATTCGGAGGGAATCCTGGCTGTTAAGATCTATGTGATTTTAGAGGTGTTAGCAATGTGTAGAAACCAGGGGGCTCTTAATTTTCTTAACATTTATTACATAAATGTGCTAATACACTTAAGCAGAATTTTTAGCAGAAATAATCTTGGATTACAAAGAGAAGCTCTCGGAGAATGAGGGTGGGATGGACACTCTGGTGGGGGGTGTGATATTGGAAGTTTCACATACGAAGCCAAACCAATTACAGTCCTGTAAACTGCATGCTTAAAATAGCGCTGTTGCACTGTCCTCCCGTTGTTCATCCATTTGCTCGAGTGGACACCAGTAATGTCTCCATTAAGAGACTTGTTACTGGTTTCTGGCATATTGAATACACCATGGGGAGCTTGCTAGGCTCTGTCGTGCAGACGGGATACTCTCCGTAGCTTGCTGGGCTCTTCAAAAGGAACAGAGGAATCGAACCCAGGTCGGCTGCGTGCAAGGCAAACGCGCTCCCTGCTGCCTGCAGTGCTATTGCTCCAACCCTAAAAAAACTACTGGTACTAAAAATGTTTTAAATTCCATTCAACAGACACAATTCAAAAAAATAGAAGCTTAAGATAAAATTTTAAAAATATATTTAAAAATTTAAAAAAAAAAAGAAAAGAACCTCCTCTTATTTTTAAGAAATGTTGGCAAACTATCCAGGCACAGTCTTTTGTGATGACTCAAGTATGTGACATAGTCCTTTTTTTTTTTTTTTTTTTTACATTTTGTTTGACGAGAGTTTTTCTTCTCTCTAGACCGTAAAGCATATGTGGCCGTTTATCTGCCAGTTCATAGAGAAGTTGTTTCGAGAGACCATCGAGCCGGCCGTGCGGGGGGCCAGTGCCCACCTGAACACCTTCAGCTTCACGAGGATCGACATGGGGCAGCAGGTCAGTGCCTTCCTGGGCCCCTCGGGCCAACAGCAGGGTCACTGCAGAAAGGAGAAAAATACAGCAGGCTCTCACAGCGTTTCCCAGCGAAAATGGCCCTGCAGTAGCACTGAGCCCCGCACGCTGTGCCCTTCAGACAGCCGGGCGGGGCTGAGAGCGCAGAGACTGACCTCCTCTGACCACCACCTGCACAGATTCAGTGAGCACCTGAGGCGTGGCCCACAAAGGCCCAAAAACAGAACAAAAAGTAACAATCATGCAGGACTTGTCATGCCATCGGGTTTGTATGCATCCTCTTAAATGCAGTGTTGGAAAGAGATTTTGTTATTGGAACCATCTTGTATAGGAAGGAAAGCTGCTAGTTCCAAGGTGTATCACTGTCATCCTGTTGTTCACCTCAAGACTGCATTTAGGTGATTAGTCATTGAGTAGGGCAAGTTTCGTTATTTTTCTTTCAAAAATAGTTTTTATTGTTTGTGTTCTTTGTGTTGTGAGGCCAGACCCAGCTGTGCTCAGGACTGACTCCTGGCTCTGTGCTCTGGGGTCACTCCTGGGGGCTCAGGGACCGTATGGGGTGCCGGGAATTGAGCCCGGGGCCGGCCACGTACTGAGCGAGGCCCTGCACACTGCCGTGTTCTCCGTCACTTCACCATCCAAACTGGATTTTTTTCAAACCTTGTGTGACTTGGCCCGGAGAGAGAGAGTACAGCAGGAGAGCCTCTGCCTTGCATGTACCGACCAGCTTAGATGCCCAGAACCACTTGTGGCTCCCAGAGCCCACCAGGAACAACCTCTGAGCACAGAGCCAGGAGTCAGGCCTGGGCACTGCCAGGTGTGGCCCCCAAACCAAAACAAATAAAACCCATTTAATTTAAATTGATTTTTTATTATTATTGTAGTTTGGGTTTCATGTTTGCAGCGATGTTACTTAGCCTTGTGGCTTTGCCGTCCACGGGCGCTGCACCTTCACCTGCCCCGCGAGGGCCTCTCTCCATTCCCTGCTACCCTCCCTGCTGCTGAGGCGTCTGGGTTTGTCTGGAGTGACACTGTCGGCTCCCTTGCTCTGTTTCTCTGGATGCCACAGGAGAACAGGGTCATCCTGTATTTGTCCCTCTCCCTCTGGCCCCTCGAGGTTGGATTTTGTTTTGATTTGGGGCCACACTCGGCTGTGGTCAGGGGCTGTCTCTCTCCCTCCCTCTCTCTCCCGCTCCTACTCTCTCCCTCCTTTGCAATACAGATACTGAGTGGCCATCGTGTTTGGTCGTTTGCCCACTTACAGCTCATACCTCCCGTCCAGAGTGATCCACCCCTTCCAACCATTAATGTCATAGTGGTCCCTTCCCTGCCCCAACTGCCCTCCCCAGGCCTTAAGGCAGGCTTCCGGCCATGGGCCACTTGGCCTGACCCTTGTTTCTACTGTGGTTTTCTTCTTATGTTTTGTTTCTTTTTCACGCGCGCACACACACACACACACACACACAAATGAGTACAGTCATTTTGTGTGTGTCCTCTACTTCTGACTTATTTCCCTCAGCATAATGTTCTCTATGTCCATCCATTTATAAGCGAATTTCATGACTCCGTTTTTCCTAACAGCTAAATAGTATCTACCATAGTTTCTTTAACCAGTTGTCTGTTCTTGGACACTCAGGTTGTTTCCAGATTCTGGCTATTGTGAAGAAGGCTGCAATGAACGTACACGTGCAGGTGTCATTTCTGCTGTGTATTTTTGTATCTCAGGGGCACATTCCCAGTAGTAGTGCTGGGTTATATGGAAGCTCAGTTTCTGGTATTTTGAGGAATGCCCATATTGTTTCCAAAAAGACTGGACCAGTCGGCATTCCCAGCGACATGCATTGTTCTTTTCATCCTCCCTGCATCTGAGAACAATCTGCTTCTTGTTTCAGCCCCTCAGGATCAATGGTGTTAAGGTGTATACTGAAAATGTGGACAAGAGACAAATTATTTTGGATCTTCAGGTTAGGTAAGTTTTGGTTTGTGTCATGGTCAGTGCCGGTCATTTAGCTATGGCTGCACCATGAGGGATCTAGCGAGCTCACTTCTTAGGTCCAGGTGGACTTGACTAAATTCTTTTCAGAGACGCAAATGGTATTGACATAAACAGGTGTAGTTCCTAAAGGCCAAATTCACATGGAAGGTCACATAAGAGAAATGAACGTCCCTCTGAGAAAACCACTGGCCCTGTCCTTACAGTCTGGAGCAAAAATCCTCCACAAGTGGTCGGGCAGCCCTGGTGACTAAATGGGGGTGAAACGAAGGGTGTGGAGGATTAAGAAAGGGAATCAGAAAAAAGAAAAAGCCTGGGGTGAGGGCCTACGCCTCGCGGACTCAGGGCCCTCTCACGTCCAGTGAGTATTGCTTGAACTCAAGAATCACTGAGGGGCGGTGGCAACTTCTTGGATCATGTTCCACACTACCTTAATCTCACAGGGCTAAAGCCTCAAGGGGTGTATTGGGACAAACATCTTTGTTGTGGGCTTGTCCAGCATGCTTGGATGAGGAGTCCCAGGACCCCTGCTCAGTAGGTCCATATCAGTGCTGGCTATCCAGATTTCAGGCTCCTGCTTGCTGCCCATTCTGCCATTTCCCTCATTCCGTTTGAATCCTTAGTGTCAACACACAGGTACTTGCAAGCTGAATTTTCTGTTCAGCAGCATTTTGATAGTTTATATCCTTGGCCAAGTGGGATTTAGTCTTAGGATGCAAGGACAGAAAATGTGCCCCCTCAGCAGAATGAAGAAAACAGCACATGTCATCTCAGTGCGTGTCAGAAACACATTCGACAAAATGAAACACTCTTTCTAGCACTCAGCTGGCATGGAACAGAACGCACCATCCCAGCAGAGCAGACGGCAGGTATGCCACCCTCCCAGCTCCCAGCCCCAGACTGAAACATGAGGAAGACAGAGCTTCCCTGAGATCAGGAGCAAGGAAGGGTCCCCGCTTGAAACTTCTGTTTCGCGTGGCACTTGGAGTCCTTGCCAGCGCGACAAGAGAAAGAAAGAGATTGTCTCACACTGCCCCTCCTTCCGGCTCCCCCTTGCTCCTCTCATCTCTCCCTGCTGCTCATCTTTCAGCCTTGCTCTCCTGCCCAACCTCCAAGCATTGGGCATTGAGGTAGCAGCCACACCTAGGTCTAGCGCAATCAGCATATGAAAGCCCGTCCTTCCAAGGAAAGCCCTTCTAAGAGAAGACTCCAGTCCTGCTGCCAGGAGATTGCTCAAGGGCGAAATACCACCTAGGGGTGTACAGTGCTCAGGCCAGATTAGTCTTTCCTAACCCTAGCAGGGTCCTAATCCAGTTGTTACTTTTTGGATCATGACAGAATTTGTCCATGACCATGCTCTTAACTTATAGTTACGTATTATGGCAGTTGGCCTTGTCCTGTTTTAATGCCGGGGTAGCTCACTGCTTGCCCTGGGTCCATCCAGTCTCTCGTTGGGACCCTGCTCTTGGGTTGCTGGGAACTAAGGGCAACTGAGGCTTAAGTCAAGAAAACAGATGCCAAGGAGTGAATATTTTTTGGAGTCAATTAACTACCAAGTTACAGAAGGATAGCATTAACTGTCTTCCTGTGTCTATACAAAAAGGACATTGCTCTGAAGTAAACTGTGCAAAGGACATAGGGGAAGGAGAAAAGCAATATTTCACTTACAAATACAAAAGCAGAGATTTCTGAGGAATTTGACCTTACAAGTCACAGGTACTGCTTGTAGGGAAAAGGTGATTAACCGGTTGGGGAACCAGACCACAGAGAAGTTAAAAGTAAACACAGAGGGATGGGAGTGCCTTGGAGCACTGTGAATGGTGTAACCCAATAAACCTAAGCTCCCTGCGGGCCAGGGAGAAAGAGCAAACCAGTGTTATCCCACAGGGTTTGGGCTCAGATGGTAGAGCAAATGCTTAATACATATGAGGCTCTGGGTTTGATCCCCAACTCCAAAGTAGAGGAATAAGTAAGAGAAATGTAAGGTAATAGGAAATAAAACGATCAGGTCTTACGATGAAGAGGAAGCTTCAAGCTGAGCTTCTAAGTTCTTTGCTGTGCTGGAGCTGTTCTCTGAGCTGGGAACCACACGGTCCCAAACAGGCACGGCTGACCCTGCACGTTCCCGTCCATATGTAAGGCGGGTCAGCATTTCACCGTGTCTGCAGCCACCGGGCAGAACTGGTGCCCGGTAGGTTCCCGAATCCTTCCTGACCTTTGAGGGGACCAGCCCTGGGGTCCTTATTCCTTTGTACTACTGGAAAATCCGAGGAAATTTCATTGAACCTGAGTGTCTTAAACATGCCCACTTCGTTGTAAGACGGAGGCGGCCTCCCTCCCATAGGGAGCTGTCTGAGTGCTCCCTTCCCCTCTGACTGAGTCGTGAGATGAGGCCGGCCAGGCACCGTGATGGTGCTGGGCATGACCCAGGCTGAAGGCCACCACTCTGCCTGCAGTAGTGTTCTTGCTGCTTTGCATTTTTTAAGGTACCTTGGTGGTCTCTACAATAGAATGTAATTAGAATCTTCCTCTTTTCCAGTTTTGTAGGAAATTGTGGGATTGATTTGGAGATCAAGCGGTATTTTTGTAAAGCTGGTGTACAAAGTATTCAGGTAAGGCTCTAAGCAGTTTGGCATTGTACAGTATGTCCTCTGTGTTTACAAGAGTTCCTCTCTGTCTGAAAGGGAAGAACGGGCTTCGGTTAGTGAGTGCCTTAGGGTTGCTTGGGGCGGACCATGCCCATTGGGCAGCCCAGCCCTGCTGGCCTTCTGTGGGAATGCTTCTGAACTGTCTGCTCCTCTCACCTGTCACTCTGTTGACTTTAGGTTCACGGCACCATGCGGGTGATTCTGGAGCCTTTGATCGGAGACATGCCTCTCGTGGGGGCACTGTCCATCTTCTTCCTCAGGAAGCCGGTGAGTCTGACTGGATCTTTCGTTGCTGGTAGCCATCGGCACAGGCCTGGGAGCTGGCTGCTGCTGGGACCTTGGCCTGTGTGTAATCCCCATCACCAGGTGGTCCCCTGGCAGCACCCAAGGAGTAGCCCCCAAGGACTGCTCTGTGTGTGTGTGTGTGTGTGTGTGTGTGTGTGTGTGTGTAAGGAGTAAATACATTCAAGTCAAGGTGCATATAACAGACAATTATGTTCTCTCTTTTTCCGCACACTGGCTAAGGTAGAAAGTGCCTCCATGCTTCTTTTTGGAGAGCCTCCCCTCTGTCCCTCTCCCCCTCCACCCCTCGTCCTTTCTCTTTCCCGGACCCCCCAGGTGTGGGACCATATCCCGTGGTGCTTAGGGCTTCAGAGTTCCCACGTGCTGAGGATTGAACCAGGGTTGGCAGCCAACAGGGCAAATGCCTTAACCCCTGTACTAATAATTCTCCATCCGAACTTCATCTTTTGATACGAGCTTGTTTTCCTGATTATAAAAGTGTGGTTGTTTCAGAAAATAAAAAACACAGACTACTTTAGAATTGTTGGTTGTAGTGCACATTTTATCCAGCACCCGTTGCTGGACGCTCGCTGGTTCTGGAGTTGGTACTGGCCGTCTCACGGTCAGGCTCCAGTCAGATACTCATGTCCTCTCTTCGGTGTCCGGTGACCTAGCCCACACAGCAATCACCTTCCCTTATGGTGTTTTAAAGTTGTTCTGCTTTGTTTTTTGAGGCAGGGCTGTGGGAGGTCATAGCTGGTGTTGCTCAGGGCTACTCCTGGCTTGGAGCTTGGGGACCACCCCGTGAGGTGGTGCCAGGCCGAGTGTTGACGATCTGTGGAGCTTAGTGGCAGTAGCTGTCGGGGTGTGAGTGTGGCCGCTCCCAAGGGCGCCCCGAGGTCTCAGCCAGGGACTGGTGTACCATTGCCCCCTCTGAGATTCAGTCATGAGCCTGGGAGGCTGGGCTCCGGTGACACAGCCGTGGGCTTTGTGTGCTGAGGGCTGGATCGGTCCACACTTCTGTGTGCTCGGCCTTGGAGCCGTCTCTTACCCTTTCTGCTGTACTGAGTGAGCTATACTTCATGCACTGTTTCTAAGCATCATGAAGATTTTTCTCCAGCACCCCATGTGGTCCCCGCTGCCCTCCAGGAGTGATCCCCAGTGCAGAGCTACGGTGTGTGGCCCAAACCCCCCAGAATTTGAAAAGAACAGACTTTCTGATACCCTAACACATGGATGAACCATAGCTGAATCGGCACTTAGCAATGCATGAGTTTTTGGTCTTAAGTAGTTTCCGCAAGAAAAATGAGACTAACAAGAATGTTATTCGGACCTAGACCCACCGCGCCAGCTCCTCCCCTCCCCTGAAGGCTCCTCCCTACTCAGGCTCCGCCCCACCCAGGCTGCTCCCCACCCAGGCTCCTCTCCACACAGGCCCCTCCCCTACCAAGGCTCCGCCCCCTGACAGGCTCAGCTGTGACCGAGGCCCCGCCCTCCCCACAGACTCCTCCCCTGCCTGAGGCCCTGCCCTGACAGAGACCCCGCCCCTCCCCAAGGCTCCTCCCTTCTGAGGCTCCACCCCAACTGAGGCCCCGCCCCTCCCCACAGGCTGCTCCCCCGACCGGGGCTCTACCCCTGACCGAGATCCCGCCCCTCCCCGAGACTCCTCCCTACTGAGGCTCCGCCCCAACCGAGGCCCCGCCCTCCCCACAGACTCCTCCCCCGCCTGAGGCCCTGCCCTGACAGGCCCCGCCCCTCCCCAAGGCTCCTCCCTACTGAGGCTCCGCCCCAACCGAGGCCCCGCCCTCCCCACAGACTCCTCCCCCTCCTGAGGCCCTGCCCTGACAGAGGCCCCGCCCCTCCCCAAGGCTCCTCCCTACTGAGGCCCCGCCCTGATCGAGGCCCTGCCCCTCCCCACAGGCTCCTCCCCTGACTGTGGCTCTGCCCCTGACCGAGATCCCGCCCCTCCCCGAGACTCCTCCCTACTGAGGCTCCGCCCCAACCGAGGCCCCGCCCTCCCCACAGACTCCTCCCCCGCCTGAGGCCCTGCCCTGACAGAGGCCCCTCCCCAAGGCTCCTCCCTACTGAGGCCCCGCCCCGGCCGAGGCCCTGCCCCTCCCCACAGGCTCCTCCCCTGACTGTGGCTCTGCCCCTGACCGAGATCCCGCCCCTCCCCGAGACTCCTCCCTACTGAGGCTCCGCCCCAACCGAGGCCCCGCCCTCCCCACAGACTCCTCCCCCGCCTGAGGCCCTGCCCTGACAGAGGCCCCTCCCCAAGGCTCCTCCCTACTGAGGCCCCGCCCCAGCCGAGGCCCTGCCCCTCCCCACAGGCTCCTCCCCTGACTGTGGCTCTGCCCCTGACCGAGATCCCGCCCCTCCCCGAGACTCCTCCCTACTGAGGCTGCGCCCCAACCGAGGCCCCGCCCTCCCCACAGACTCCTCCCCCGCCTGAGGCCCTGCCCTGACAGAGGCCCCTCCCCAAGGCTCCTCCCTACTGAGGCTCCACCCCAACCGAGGCCCTGCCCTCCCCACAGACTCCTCCCCCTCCTGAGGCCCTGCCTTGACAGAGGCCCCGCCCCTCCCCAAGGCTCCTCCCTACTGAGGCCCCGCCCCGATCGAGGCCCTGCCCCTCCCCACAGGCTCCTCCCCCGACCGGGGCTCTACCCCTGACCGAGATCCTGCCCCTCCCCGAGACTCCTCCCTACTGAGGCTCCGCCCCAACCGAGGCCCCGCCCTCCCCACAGACTCCTCCCCCGCCTGAGGCCCTGCCCTGACAGGCCCCGCTCCTCCCCAAGGCTCCTCCCTACTGAGGCTCTGCCCCAACCGAGGCCCCGCCCTCCCCACAGACTCCTCCCCCGCCTGATGCCCTGCCCTGCTAGAGGCCCCGCCCCTCCCCAAGGCTCCTCCCTACTGAGGCCCCGCCCCGGCCGAGGCCCTGCCCCTCCCCACAGGTTCCTCCCACGCCTGAGGCCCTGCCCTGACAGAGGCCCCGCCCCTCCCCAAGGCTCCTCCCTACTGAGGCCCCGCCCCGACCGAGGCCCTGCCCCTCCCCACAGGCTCCTCCCACGCCTGAGGCCCTGCCCTGACAGAGGCCCCGCCCCTCCCCAAGGCTCCTCCCTACTGAGGCCCCGCCCCGACCGAGGCCCTGCCCCTCCCCACAGGCTCCTCCCACGCCTGAGGCCCTGCCCTGACAGAGGCCCCGCCCCTCCCCAAGGCTCCTCCCTACTGAGGCCCCGCCCCGGCCGAGGCCCTGCCCCTCCCCACAGGTTCCTCCCACGCCTGAGGCCCTGCCCTGACAGAGGCCCCGCCCCTCCCCAAGGCTCCTCCCTACTGAGGCCCCGCCCCGGCCGAGGCCCCGCCCCTCCCCACAGGCTCCTCCCACGCCTGAGGCCCTGCCCTGACAGAGGCCCCGCCCCTCCCCAAGGCTCCTCCCTACTGAGGCCCCGCCCCGACCGAGGCCCCGCCCCTCCCCACAGGCTCCGCCCCGGCCGAGGCTGCCCAGTGGACGGTCAGCCTGTCCCGCCAGGGCGCACTGTCCTTGCAGGCGAGGTCAGTGTGACCCAGCCCCCTCCTGTCCGCCTCCTCGAGTGCCCTGGGCTGCGTCCTCCCTCTTGGCTGATGCCCAGCCCTGCCGTTCTGTGACCTGCGTCCCCGTCCCTCCGAGCCCTTCCAGACCAGCCCCGGGCCCCGCTCTGAACCCGCGTACAAGCCGCGTGACTCCAGTTCCGAGGACCGTTTGTTGGTTTGGGGCCATCCCTGGCTGGGGGAGGCCACGCTGCCCCCAGCAAGCCCTTTGTCGCTCTCAGTGAGTCCTGTTGCCTGTATCTTTGACACTTGTATAAGTGATTAAAACGACAATATAAATTATTAAGTTTTTTTTTTGCTTTTTGGGTCACACCCGACGATGCTCAGGGGTTCCTCCTGGCTCTGCACTCAGGAATCACTCCTGGCAGTGCTCGGGGGACCCTCTGGAATGCTGGGAATCAAACCCAGGTCAGCTGCGTGCAAGGCAAACGCCCTACCCGCTCTGCTATTGCTCCAGCCCCAAATTACTGAGTTTTAAAGTAATGTATTTACCTCCATCAAGCTACAATTTTTTGTGTATGAAGACATAGGGATGGGGGCTGGAGAGACAGTATACTGAGTAGGGTGTTGGCCTTGCCCGACCACCGACCTAGGTCACGTCTGCCAAGCCCCCCAGGAGAGCTCCCTGAGTGCAGAGCCTGGAGTGCCCTGCGGGGTGTGACCAGAGCGACCCAGCACACACGGCGGACGCAGCATGAGGGAACGAAGGTTAAGGCGCTTGTCTTGCTTGCTGCTGGCTTCCTTGCGCTCTCCCCAGCCCAGGAGCACTGCGGGGTCACCCTTATTCTCACGGGCACCGTAGAGAGCCCGTTTGGTTGATGGAGGGTCACCAGTAAGTGACCTGGGCCTCCCAGGCACTGCTCCAGGGAGGCCAGAGCCTTGACAATGCATCATCCCTTCCTGTGGCCTCTGTATTGCTTCGTGTGGGACTTCCTTTGAATGCATTTCAGTTGCAAAACATATATGATAAAATTCCAAAGTTACAAAGGAATCTACTAAATTTTATTTCATCGAATTGTGAAAATTAGATTAATATCTAAAAAGAATATCTAAATTTAGATATTAATCTAAAATTAATATCTAAAAATTATTTATATTTTTCCAAATACATGTTGTTTTAAAAGAATTCTGGTTTAAAAACTGCTGTCATAAATGAGCATGAAAACCAAACCTTTCACGAGTTATGGTAGGTATTTTTAATTTACAGGCTATTTTAAACAAAGAAGGTGGTTTCCTCTCCCAGTTTACAGTGTAGCAAAATCCAAATCTTTAAGTCTTCCTCTAAACTTAGTAACACTTTTACTTAGTGTGACTCTTCCATAAGAATACTTTATAAAATAAATAAATAGCATAATATTTGCTAACGAAGTACTAACATTCAGTGAAAAATTTGACTCAGG